AGCGAAACATCACTGTCAATCAAAGGACATTAAAAATGCTTTCTACGTCAGATGTCTATGATACTTTCAAATATTTAATAATTTTGCTTAAGGGAACACTTACTCATTGCATTAAGTCAGCATATTATATAGCAGTGAGTATAATTATTCAATGAAGGAAGAAACAGCCCAGAAACAGAAAAAATTTGTGTGCAAAGTGAGTGACTTGGTGTCTCAATGCGCCTAGAGGCATGCTGTAATAGACACACCAGTTCAGTATTTTGGGGAGGTGACTGATCACTTTCTTTCCTGCTAACTGATCACTTAATGAAATATTTATCTCATTCATTTTTTCAGAATTATAAAATTAGTCTATTTTCCCCTCACTGAAAATACAGACTTTTTGCAGTAGTTCTGGAGTGATACAGACAAAATCTGCAGCTTTCAGGTGAATAATTTAATAATAAAATTTGAGAGAATTGCTACTGGAAAACCAAGTTGCAAAGGAAATGGTGAATTCCCACAAGTGATTTGAAGTCATTACTGGAACATGAGATACATTTTTGGAACATGATCCACTGCAATACACAGCTTTATTTGGCATAATAAAGGATATTTTTATGCAAGCATAAGAACATCATCAAAATCAAGCATTTCTTCAAAAGCTTAACTGGCAAAGCTCCAAATTGCATTGAAATTGATGATCAGTTTATAGGATATCAGTCATGTCCTGCTAGTAAAATGTTTCTACACTGCAGTACATGTTGCACGACTCAAAATTACATGCACTCCAATGTACTGCATAATCAATTTCAATGTTTTAATAGTTCCTTACTTGTTGTAGATGAGGCACCACTAAATAGTTTCCATATATATACTTCTAACTCTTAAAATCATTCTTTAATGCATTTGACATGAACATCCAGCAGGGGGTTTTGCTGTCAGGAACTGGATCTTTGGGCACAGACTCAATGGCCAGAGGCAAGTTGTAAATGCACTCAGACCAGTCGTGTGAGGGAAGCAAACGCTATACAGGTGTACTCCACTCACCCATATCAGCCCACATCAGCACAAAATAGACTTGAGATGCAAGTGGATCTGCCACATATATGGACCAGAATAATGTGTGGGGTTTTTTTTTGTTTGTTTGTTTACTATCTTTTAACTGAATTTTGCTCCATTTCTCTGTGACTCATACACTTAGATCTTCAGACTTTCTTGACCCCAGAAGATGCAAGTTTTCTTGCTATCCAAAGAGTGAACTCTATTTTATTTATTATTTTTTTGACTTATATTTTGAAACACATATTTTTTCCTCAAGATATTTTGTAGTAATACAAAAGAGTTTGTGAAACAGGGTCACTTCCAACTCACAGAGGCAGGACAATAGCTGCACTGAACTATTGTGATTAGAGAGCGTCTCTTTGTCTCCTTTCTTACTCATGTTAACACTCCCCTGCAGCTCCACCTCACAGTCCCCAGCTCTCCAAATTGTGTAAGATGAAGATGGCTGGAGCAGTATTTTCACATTATAGATGGATGTGCATTGTCCATTCTATGCCAAGTTTTTATACTTGTAATAATATTTTAATTTTCCCACTATACTCTTTCTTTGTCCTCTCTTTAACTAGGCCAAAGGGGGTGGTTTGTGTGTGTTTGGATCAGGGAAAAAGGGGGACAACCACAATATGGACTTTTAAACATTTTAATATTATTAAAAATAATAAAAAATAAATGGAAGAATGAAATAAGAGCTCGTGAAAACAATTTCCCTTTTCTCCTTCCTTTTTATCTTCACAACACAGTTTTCCTTGATTCAAACCACTGTTATATGACAAACTTATCTGACATCCTGGCAGTGACAAAGGTTATAAAGAGGTAGATCCAATGACAAAGATAGCTCTGCTATTATCTGTGATACACAAGCAGTTTTATTTGCACATTGGGTGTTTTGCCTTCCTTTATTTTAATAAAGGGAAGAGAAGCAAAAATAAATCATACAAACAAAAATGCCATTTTGCTACTATGTGCCTTAGTCAAAGAAATGCTCCTCTGGCAATGAACTTCTCAGGGTTACTTCAGACCAGTCCAGGCAGAAAGATGACCTTAGACAGTAAATGCAATTTGTTTTTATTAAATGTACCTGTTGCTCGTTTTCTAACTACAAATTTAATGTTATACATTAGCTATAGTGATATCAGTAGGAGGAGGGCTATAATCAAGAATTAGTTCCACATCCAGGAATTTTAAGCATGTGCTCCCATCGTCTAGATTACTATTCCACAGTGCATGGAATGGGGGGTTACTTCATCATCTAAAGCAACAAAGCTGAACTGAGCTCTCACAGCAATGACATGTATTATATTCATTGAGCATGCAACAACAGCACGGCTCTTAATGAAGCAAAGAAAGATGAAAGAATACATTTGAACAGAAAGACCAAGCCAACAGAGGCAGAAGTGAGATAATTCCACAAGAATAAACCTCACAATATTGATATAGTTCAGCACTTTCTGCATTTGGTATAAAACTGGAACAGTTCTAGGGCAGAAGGAAGTTACTTGAGGAATCATGCCAGTTATGTGGTAGAAATGGGACATATGTCAAAACAGCTTTGTTGGAGCAAACAATGCACATTGTACAAGTGTGTAAAGGCAGATGTGACTTTGCAGGTCTAGAAAGCACAACAAAGGAGCACACAATAGTGGGTACAATGATTAGAAGCCAGATGTCTCACAGGCATGAACCTTTGTTTTGGTTGAGGGAAAGAAGTATTTTCAGTTTGAAGGGCCCCAGTATACAACATCATGGGCACTCAGCCACAGAAATAAGCTATTTCAGTGAGTAGAATAGCAGGGGAAAACATAAATGAAGTATGAGCTAATGGAGAATAACTGAATTCCAAAAAAAATCCAGTCTAAAAAGCCTTAATAGTCTGACATTGGAAGAGACATTCTATTAGAAGCTGTTTCAAGTCCTTTCTTCTTCACTATTTGCTTAGGTGTTTTGCCCTCACTTTAGATGGTTTCTTTACCTCTATTATTCCTTTGGGAACAATGAAAGCATATCCCTGGCAATTTATTTTCTTTATTTTTTTATTTTTTTTTTTCTGCAGGATAAATAGATGAGTAAAACTGTTTCTTTAGGCAACCCTTTGCATGGGCTTTCTTAGATACTGTGCACTAGAAATTGTCTTTACAACAGAGGCAAATTCCTAAGAGACAAGAAAATAAAGATCCACTTATGTTACCACACTTCACACTGAAGTCCCCTAGCCCCATGTATACCATCAACATGTTTATAAACATCACACTATTTTAATTTACTTGCTGGGTATTTAAGCTTACATATCAGCAAAAGAGAAGAAAGTTGTAAGACACAGCAATTTGGAACCCTTCCCACACAGCAAGCGCAGCATCAGAGTGAAGTCCGATCATGTATGAAGCCTGTGTTACAAAGCGTAAAAGAAATTATTTTAAAATAACACACTGTTCTTGAACAGAGCTCAGGAAGTGTGTTAAAAATATACCCAGAAGTTTTCTCATTGGGTCTGCAGAATTAGAAATCAGGAGTCATTTTCAACAGGGACCATGCCGTGACTGCATACACAGAATGCAACAAGATAATACATGAACACATGAATCTTGAACATGCAAGATAATGAGAAAAAAAAAAAAAAAAAAAGCCCAGCAAACAGAGAACTGCTGACCAAACAGCGTTTTGAGAACTTTTTTTTTTTAATATCAAATACAATAATGATAGGCAGGATAAAAATATATGAAGAGAAAATAGTTAATGTCTTAGAGGCATCAATATTTTATTAAGACCTAGATTAGATAACAGCTTGTTCACAGTTCGTTTGTTAGCAGAACTTGTTTTGCCCCCAGCATCACCACGGATAAGCTATGGCAGAATGAGCATCAAGACCTTGTAAAGAACCTAGTTACCCAACTATTTTATTGTTCCACTTAAAGCAATACTTGTCTTTTTTTTTTTTTTTTTAAGCTCTTTGGTAAAAATATCACACAACAGACAAGTCTAAGATAGGACTTTAAAGGTTTTTTTGTTTGTTTGTTTGTTTTTTGAAATCTTTTGGTTTTAGGAGTCAGAATTACCTGGCAACACATTCTAATTTTTAAGCAGATTCAAGATCATTTCTTACTTGCAGAATACACTGGGAAAATACAAGAGTACGAGTGGAAAAAGAAATACAAGACCTCTGTTGAATACGTTGAATGGGAACCCTATAGCTAGCAGAAATGAATACCAAAGTCCCAATTACAGCTATTTATTTTTCCTAGGCACAATAGAAATTCACCTCATCCACAGACAAGAAGAGAGAAAAAAACAGATACTCATTTTCCAAATAAGAGGGGGAAAGTAGCCCAAACCCCTCACTTTTTCACCTCATTCTACGGTCTACAGAGATACGAATGTCACTGTGTCATCTTGTCAATACTGCTGTCGGTGTGTACACAAACACATCTGTCTTCTTCCATTTATTCAGTCATCAAAATTCCAAGTCTGCAAGCTAGTCATAATTATGACTTCCAAAAGAGGCAGGCACCTGCCATTTACTCTACCTTTTTCAATTACATCTAATTGAAGACTTGAGCTCAAATAGAGGAAAGGAGACAAGAGTTCTTCAAACTGTCTAAACATTTTCTGTTGAATAGGGGGGAAAAAAAAAAGACATCTACCACAGCTCAAAATAAGCTTTCCAACATGTTTGGAATAATAAATAACTGGGATATGAGATACATTTCCTTCCTTTAAACACCCCACACTATGGAGATGCTTTCTGTATGGATGAGTGCTCACAGCCAGAAGAAAAGTCACCCCACCTTCCAGGTCACTGCTGAAGCTAAACTATGAGTGAATTTCTTGGGTATGAGAAGCTGTCTTGGGTACTCCAGTAATTTCCTCCTTTGAAGAACAACCAAATGACGGAAGGCAACATGTCAGGAATAGGGGGGAAGCAAAGAAAGGGGATGAAGTGCTCTTGAAGAAACCAAGCTTACCTGTGATCATACAGATGAGATGGACTGACCATAGATTATCTTCTCAGAGTACAGCTGTAAAATCCTTGGCAACAGCAACCTGATAGGCACGGAGATAGAGTAACCTTCAAGGAACTAAAGGAGCTGGGGGGGGGACAGCTGGCTCCGCTTATATAATTAGGCCTAACAGAGAGGTTGATTTTAGCCCGTGTGATCTGCATTAAGAGTAAGTCCCTTTCTGAAAGCATTTTTGAGAGGATGCTTAAGGTACTCACGTGCGTGCATGTGTGTTGGGATTTTCCCTTTCCTCAGGCAGTGCTGTGAAAGTTTCTATCAAGAGATAGTACGATGGTATCATTTGGAGAGAAGATAGGAAGAGTTACAGAAAGGAATCCTTGTGCCAAATGATGCAATGGGAGAAGCTGACCTCATTGGTTCAGTCCCTAAAAATCATAGGCAAGAAAAAACACCTGATGTATTGTTAGCAAATTAGACTTATTATGCTAAAAAGAAAACAGCCAAGTGAAAAATATCTCACATCCATCAACAGAAAAACCACTGGTAACTTGAATAACACAGACACAGGGAAAACAGAGTAGCTAAAAATATAATAAACCATCATCACATTCATGATACATCCACAAAGGTGCACCAGTCCTGATCCTTCAGTTTCCTTATAATCAAAGTTAAGATGATAGTTGTGATCTGAATAAATGATATTACTAGACCAGCACTTCCTAGCCCTATTACTAGCTTCCTACATGCAGAGGGAACCCGTAGTTTTTATAGGTCTAATTTTAAGATAATGGATGATGAGTGCTATTTAAGCATTGAGAATTTTGTTTGTACATAAAAATCTAAGCTGGAGGAATAAAACATAAATGTTATAATGGAATTGTCCTAATGGAGTTGTCCTTACTGTTTGAAAGCCTAAAGGTTTTAATGCTTTCAACTAAAACAATTGAGAAGTCAGCTATTTTTCATCATTTATTCTGGCAACTGGAAAATACAAACAACTGCACCAAAGTTGTACAGCAGAAGTAGGTGAGATTCTCTTTTGCTGCCTTTCTGCACATTTTATGGTTTCAACAGGGAAATGTGAGCTGATCACCAGTTTACCAAAGCGATTTCTCCAGATTTCCCTGGACAGAAGCATTCCTCAAATGTATTTATGGAGAACACGATAGCCTGGGTGCTTCCTTATCAGGGACCATACTCTCCTACCAAAATCAGCCTATAGCTACCTAAGCTATATGCATCTGCTCTGTTTTTATTCTGTTTCAAGGGGTGAGAAATTACGGAAGATAACAGTTCATTTTATTTCCTAGTCAGATGCTATAGCAGAAGATATATTTGACAGGTCACAAGAGCATAGCAGGAAAACAAGACATATTCCGTGGGTTGTAATAAATATGTACTCTTTGTGCTATCACGTGTCCTTCCTTGTAATACATAAAGACAAGAAGAGCTTGATCTGTCAGTTTACATCACTGATTTTATTATTATTATTATTATTATTATTGGCACAATGTTTCTGGCACTAGTTTATTTTTCCTATTGTTTCCATTTTTTATTAGTATTTTCAGTCAGTTCTTATGCAGATGACATTGCCTCTCAGACAAGAGGGCTGAAACACAATTCATTACTCCCAGATATTATATGTTTTCCTGCAAGGATACACGTTGACGCTGATAGGGGGTGCTAGATCTGATGATGCGAAACATGCAGAACTTCAAGTATGCAAAGAATCACATTGAATTCCTTGGAATTACTTACATACTTAACCAGAAACAGGTGTGATAATCTTTGCAAGACCAAGGTCTTAGTTTTTAAAATAAAATAGTAGGTCAGATTAATTTCAGAGATCACCCCACTGGCCAAAAAAATAAAAATATAAATAAAAAATGCAAAATTGGGGAGCAGAGTGGAGTGACTTGAAAGATTCATTCGGCTTATTATCTTCACTGTTTTCTCATTTATTCATTTAGAAACCACCTGGGAAACGAGTGTGATTTCACTAAATCTGCTTCACAATTTGTGTGCAGTTGTAAGGGGATATAAAGACACAATATGCATGTACATTATTCTTTCATTTACCTTGGTAGCATCATTCTCCCTTTCTGTTGTGGTTTTTAAGCCTGACATTAACAATACAGGCTTCAATTCAATTCTCTTTCACTGACATGAGCAGAAAGCCTTGTTATTTGACAGCATGGATTAACCAGGTTCATGATGACTTCTGAGTTCAGAGAGAGATTGAGAAACTATACTCAAGTCTTTCTTTCTCCACCAAAGGTCTGAGCACTAATTAAGATTTGGAGGAGAAAGCAAAAACAAAACAGGCCTAACTGGGCTTAGGTAGATGACAAGTGATGCAGGTGAGGAAACCAACACAAAGTGGCATATCGCTAGTCTACTGGCTTGGAAACATGGAATCACTGTAGTAGGTTCAGGGCACTGTAAGTGTACTCCTCTCACAACACTGAATACAGATTTCAGAACTGTATGCACAAATACAGAATTACTAAATAAAGAAAATTCTTATATTTGCAATGAGGGTACACTACAGGTAAATTACCTCTTAGGACTGACTGTGTTCCTTATTAGACCTTGTTTCATCCGTGCACAGCAAATGTAGTGCCTAACACTGAGTGGTATTGAAAAACAGAAGTCTCTTTATATCTTTTGTGTCAATATATTAAACACGTTGCTACCTAGTGCACCTTATCCTGAACTAGCATTCCCTGCTTTGCTGTTCCTTTTATTTCATAGTCAGTGTTATTTCAATGGCCATGTAGTTTCTTGTTCACATGCTTCAAATAATGAAGATAAAGAACAACATTTGTGATTTGCCTTCTGTACGGCTGTTTTTTTTTTGGTTTTTTTTTTTTTTTTTTTTTCATTGCTTATTCCCAAGAGAGCTACCCTGTTCATTCCTTTTATACGTATGTGATTGATAGCTCCAATTTTCTTACTCAACGTAACACAATTATCAGGGCTTTTTTTAAAAGGCCCAACAGCCTCACAGACTTTCTAAAACAGGGAAGCTGTGGGTGAGACTACATTTACTACAGTGCAAACAGAATAAATAAAAGGTAGGCAGGGTATATTGAACCTGAGCTTCCAAAGTGTGCTTTTACTCCCAGATCTGAACAAAGCCCTTTCATACACATGAAGGGGTGAAAGGATAGCAGTGTACATTTCTCTCAGGAGCTGCAGGCTGCTACTCAGCTCAGTGGAGACTCCTGATGAGGGCTGCCCTCAGGCAGAGCTGGGACAACTGCTTCTCCCAGACATAAGAGCCTGATTTCACAAGCAGCCTGAAGATGCTCCTTCCATCTTGAAAACCGATGTGAGCCCATCCTAATAGAAGGACATGGCAGGGCAACCCCAGCTCAAGCACCCTGCAAGACAGGCAAAACTGCTCTGACGATGCTGATCTGCAATGCCACCAAGCTCTGACAAGCAAGCACTGGTGGTACAGAGGTAGTTTAAGAAGTTACCTAACATAGCTATGTCCAACTGTATAATGCTGCTTAGGAATACTGTGTTGGCTCTGCACGGTATTGTGTTATGTTGACATAATCCTAGCTTTTCTTGCTAGATGGATTGCCTCTTCCTTGTCCTCCCCCCTTTACTCTGTCCTCACGTTGCTTCAGACCTAATTTGTCTCATGAGCATTTGTTTCAAGGGTTGCATGAATCAGGGTGACACAAACTTTCCCAAGCCAGTGTTGACATTTGAAGTGTGGTGAGATGGTGCAACACGCAAGAGAAAAGACTTCAGATATTCACTCCAGCAAAAAGGCAGGTTTGTTTTTTCTAGAAATGTTTCATTTGTTCTAGCAGGTGTGTCTGATACCTTTTGCATAATGATAAACCCACACACATTCTTCATGCAAATAGTGACCCAACAGTTGCTTTTAGCCGTTTCAAGTAGTAAGTGCATGTAACAACCTGCACTTACATATACACACGTGTTTACAGAGTATTCATACCGTGCAAAGTAAACAGAGTCCATTGTGCTAAGGGAGGGACGCAAAGCACTGCTGCAGCAGAGGTGCCATACCATGGCCAGCATGGTCCAAGTCAGTTAAAAATTGTCAGAAAAGCTCTTCAGAGATATGGGAATAATACAACAAACCTTATCTATCTTCTCATGTCTGCAACCAGACAATATTTTTTCTCTCACGTGTGTTATTTGAAATGCCTCACATATCTCAACTATTCCTGTTCCTCAGAGGCTGTGGGAGCAGCGCACAGGGGCTACTCGAAATGTAAAACATGAACAGCTGTGAGCAGGAGCACATCACCACCACCTCGCTGAAGGAACGAGCACAGTAGTCATGGTATGACTGCTGAGATTCACAGATTTGTACCCTACCTTCTGAAGGGCTGTAGATAGTCCTCATTTGGGTAACTGTGTATGCTCCATATAATTGCCCTTGCAAACTCAGTCTTGGCCAGCAGAGAGCTTCTCAAGTCCTCTATCACATCCTCTGCTAGCTCCTTAAATCTTCCAGTGCTGTGCCTCCTTGCTCCAGCCCTCACTATTAACCAGATCAGATTATTACTAATAGATTCATTTTTGTTGTTAGCGTTTTCATTTCACAACTGAGCCTAATCTTGATAGACTGTTAAATAGTTTCTCACGAGAAAAAATAAATAAGACCATTTGTCAAAATGGTTGCTCTGGCTAATGTCTGTGAACTATCTTGTTGAAGATCCTTCAAGGGAAGGAAAGAGAAGAAATGGGAAAGGGATTCCTGTCTATGTGGCAATGTCTGTACATACCTAAATCTATTTTCTTAACACAGAATTACAACTCTAGCATGCAACTCTGCTACTGTAATGGTACGTTCATACAGTTAGCATACCTGAACTTTCTACCCAGAGCCAGTCAGTCAAATCAGTATCGTTGTTTGATGTAGGACTTTCACAACACTGCAGCACCTGACAACAAGCTCGGAGGGGGTGATTTATAACAGACGAGTGGAAGTTGTTGGTCTGCCTCTCTGTTATACTTGCTGCTGTGAGCACTCTCAGGCATCTCTGTTGAGTTTAGTTTAACTTCACCCTTCTGATCTTGCACCAAAATGGACTGAAGTGCTGACACCACCTACCAATGAGTGTTAACTGAAGCTGTAACCACTTACAGACCAAGTTTCCTGATTTACTTTTCAGATGTAGTGGCTCACCTGCATGTTTTTAATGCTTTCAGGACTGTCAGTGACACAGCTTTAAGCCATGCAAGCCACCTACAGGAGCAGTTCACATTTCCAGGTGTGACTGTGCATTGAAACATATTGGGAGTGCCCAATCAGCAGAAATACATTTGCAGAAGCTGGTG